GTTTGTCAATTCTTCCGGTCATGTCAGTGAATGTATTCGTATTGTTTTGCGAACATGGACCCAAAAACTAATGGTCGTAGAAAAAGTATAGTATGCAACACGTTCGGTAAACTTTTTAACTCACTCGTTTATTTAAAAGTCGCTCCGCTCGTGTCAAATAAACTCGTGAGTCAAATGGCGTTTACCACACTTGTTGCAGAATATACTATTACCTGTTTATAGCGAGGATTGATTTAACTCCTCGTTTCAATTTTTATCTTCAATAAAATGATCATTACAAATACAATCATATAGTTTGGAAATCCACGGTAATCCATCAACTCTATAAAGCAAATTAAATTATATTATTAATGTAGCCAAATAGAAAAAATATGTTACTACTTACTTGCGCCATCTTACTGCTACTATCCACTGATTCCTCTGATTTATTTTCTTTCTTAAAGTTATAAAATTTACATTCACTTTTTGTACTAGAATTTTTGCAACTCACAACACAACAATTCTGGTGTATATAGTGAAGAACTATTCAATCAATATAAACGGATGGATCACTGCGAAATTAATAGCCGTGCCTTGACACAATCTTAGATCAATAATTAGGTTTGAAAAACGCATTCATTGGATCATGTCAAAGAAAATGGGGCCTCGAAAAACTCTTCAGCAATATTTGTTACTGTGGGTTTATGATCGTTAGTGGAAAATACAGAAAACGGAATTACTCTACAAAACTTTTATGCAAGTGCGAGATAGATCAAGGTTAACCAGCTTTTTGAGTACCAACGGAGTTTGTTTTCCCACGTGGTCACACTATAACTGGGTTATGCTGCTTTCATTTCAAATAGCTTGAATTCTTTCGAGAAAAAAGGAGGGGAAATTCAGACCTATTGGGCCATTTCGTGAGGATAAAGCTAGTCTTCGAAGATCTCGAACAGCCAGGCTATCCTCATGCTTTGGACGACGTCAAACTGAACAAAAACCAACGTGGGCTCGCTGGTGATAGAGTAGGACTAACTAGTGATTTGCAGTCCAAATGAAACATTTTTTCTGATGGTTCCAAAGCTCCTGAACATCGTTATAGGCTTTTTGAAAAAAATTGAAATATTGTTTATATCGCGTCAGATATTAGTATCAACTTTCGTTATTTGATATTCGAATAACATGCGTTTTTCATTTGACTCATCTCGAAACGGGAGCTAAAAGAAATGGCTGTCTTAAATGTACACTTTGATATTTTTTGAAATGTGCAATTACAGTTGTGGGGGAAGATGTACATGAGCAGGCGTTTGACTAAAAGCATATCGTAGCTTTCTGACCTTTGTACCTGTCTTAAAAACATTGCCCTGTCACTATAGAAATCCAAATTTACGAGCGTCCACGCTTTCCGAAACATTAGCAACCGCATGTTTTCGAAACTGAAAACAAAATTTCCACCTGAATTACTCCTGTTTTCCTCCGCAGTTTTCTCGGTGGTTCGCTTTGTTTGCTAATTCTGAAAACGTGCAAAAACTTGACGGATTATTTATACGCCGTCGCTTAGACGAACGCGTGGGAACGGCAAAAAAAACCTTCCAGTGCACACCAATAGGTTTGTTTTTGTTAGTTTACATGTTTCTGACACTTGGGTTTCCAATTTAATTTATCTGAATGCGTTGGTTTTTATTTTCTTTGATGTTCGAATTTGATTTGTTTGTTTATTATTGCGGTTATGTCGGTGCGTTGCCAAACGTTTTAGCCTCTGATAAACATACCGGGTGATAGCAATTTTTCGTAGCTTTTTTTTTTAATTATTTAAAAAATGCATTTGAACTAAATATGGGAAACACCTGCCCTGATAATCTCGGTTAAAAATTCTTTTTTTTTTGTCAAAAACTTTTAATTCTCGTTATTTTAAAACTTGTTTTCAATATCCAGTTATGAAGATCGTAATTTATTTCATTTTTAATTTAATTTTAACATATAAACTGTGCTTGATAAGATCACCAAATCGTCTTTAAAATACAATTCTTGTGCTCTTGTATTCTCTGTCCGTTTATGGCATATTAAACACTCGCCCCGAACTATTTCCCCTTCATAATAGTGGTCCGTAATTAAATTATCTTAGCACCTGAACTACACTTGAATAGTTATAAGAAAAGTATGAAACGTTGTTCTAATTCATCGTCAATTTGAAGAAGAATTAAAGAACTCTTCAATTCGCAAATAAAAGTTTGCAAATCTGTTAAGAAATGATTGTAGATTCTGACTGTGGCACATAACTAATTTAATATTCTTTTCTCTATCCTTTTTTTGTATAGAGTTAATTTTGAAGAGTTTTCAAATATTTGGAATCGTCATATTAAATATACAATAGTATACTGTATACTTACTAAAGTAGGTAAAGGTAGGTAAAGGTAAAGACTGTAAACAAAATTGACCGGCGTCGTACCGCGTGGCCAAGATAAACAATGAAATTAATTGCAGCGGATAGCAGTATAATACAGCTTTATGCAAAGTTCTTGTATTTAATGTTGGCTATTACGCAGGTGCGCCTATTTATAAACTTTAATTCCAATATCGCGTAGCAAATGCTGTTTATTTTTGTAACGGTGCGAATTTGATGTGCAGGGTAATAATGGGATTTTAAGATATGCAATGGTTTGATACTGATGGGTACGTAAGTTTTGCATTGACGAAATTTGTCACGTTTATGCACTCGCGTGTGCGTAGATGTTTAGTTTGAGCTGTGGCAAGGAAGCATTACACAAATTATGAAGTATAATATTTCCAGTGTTTGAGCACAATAGGATTTTTTTTTCACATTTGATAATAAGGATTTTTTAACAACAGCTTTTATAAGCCATTCATAATCGATACTGGAGGTGTTTGAATTGTCACACTGCTTCATTTTTTCTTTTTTATGATACAAAAAATTTTTTGCAATAAGAGTAACGCCCAACATCGTTTCTAGGCAAATTCACGAAGTAATTTTCACATCTAAAACTAATTCAGTGTTAAAAGTGACAGGACAGGATTTCCGAAAGAACTGAAACGATTGAATATTCCAGCAATGGTATGACAAACAGTAGGTATACGAGGGTTGTTAGTTAATGCCGCATCTAAAAATAATGTTCTTCCTATGGAATCTTCAACTTTTTTTCAATGTAATGCGATATGAAAAATATTAAAAATAATAAAAAACCAAAACTTGGCAACATTGTTAATAGTATTTTTAGAACAGACGTGCTAAAAATGTTCTAATAAATTTTTAACGAAATCTTGATTTGCCGTTGATATTTTAAAATCATAGTAAAAAATCAAATTGCCAATATTATTTTTATTTGGCTTAAATATTGGCCATTTGGGAAACCGCGTAAAACGAACTAACAAACCAAAATGTTGTACAGGTTCTTACATTTTGATTAAGCACAGATTTAAGTGAGGAAACAGAAATTTAACTGATTAATCTAACAAAATTAAAAACTGTTATCAAATCACGCATCTTGAGGCAACTAGTTGCTATATTAGATTCATGATGATAATTCCAGGAACATCGAATTTAGCAGATATCCCTTTAAAAATTTTGCTTATTCGTGTGTTCGTATATCCATACTTATTAACATCAATCACCCGTCATTTGAGAATTTCTACCACTTTAATAGTTAAAACGTTGTGAGCAAAAGAATTTCGATAGACGGTGAAAATTCCATTAATCTCGCTCCATTTCTGACAAAAATTCATTGGTTTCGGAAACACAGCATGGCTAACTAAAAGGCTGTTCCAGCTACACGACCACGTGTACATTATATGATGCGTGGCAACTTTTAATGAGTCAAACTTGCTCTCGTTTTGCATGTGTCAGTCATTTTCTTGGTTTTTCAGTTTGCTCTGCGTTGACAATACGAACGGTACTTTTTCATATGTTTTGTGTCGGTTTCCTGGTGCTTTTGATTCTAGGCGCGGAAAGTTACGTCACCATGGAATGGATTTTGTTTAACGTTGGTGAGTTAAATAATTCCGTTGTATGCTACAAGCAACTACAGCAAAATTTGCAACCAATAGGGAAAAAACAAATTTAAGTCAAACGTTCGCTAAAAGTTTATCGGTAACTTCTAAATAGTTATTTTGCAATTAATATATCCGTTAGAAGCAACCTAAATAGCCACTTCCATATTTACAGTTAATACTAATTATATCACAATTTTTCAAAATGTTTGGATATCCTTGGTTGTAAAAGTCACAATTTAGGGCTTCGAGGGTCATGCAGCTTGATTAATCCATAAATCGGCCTCATCCCTTGAATTCTTAACTGTCTTAGAGATATAGATTTACTAGACACGGAGATTAATTTATAGCTGACTGACATTTTGTTACTCTGTAACCTATTTTGTAGTAATTTAGTGGCTGCTAAATAACTGTTAAATTAAAAAAGAATGTCTCCATGATACGTTTCCAAGAATTCCGGCTGCAAGTTAAGCTATAACGTTATCAACAGATTTCCTCTACAGCCGGGATCAGTGATTGGTTATAATATTTTTAGCAAAAGCTTAGGAAATAAATTTATTCTGATGGAAACCCCAATATGAAATTAAGAATCGTGTATTTTTTGGAATTTTTAGTTGCTTCTCTTAATTAATTCTGTGATTGTATCTAATTAATGTTATATGAGTTTCGTTTAATGTTTTCTCGCATATTTACTATATAAATTAATATTTAAATTATTTTTTTTTTAATTTACCATGGCGAATTTGCTGCGCTTCCAAATAATCAAACAGAATTGAGGTAATAAAGATTTAATAGCCATTTAGGGCAGATGAATAAAATGCAGTGCGCGCATAAAACTGTTAATTTGGATGTTCTTTGTTAATCATGGATCTCAGTCGCCGAGTAAAGTGGTGTGGCCGTTTTGATATCTGTCGTATATATATGTTTTGCGACGCTTACCCAATTAAGAGTTTTATTGTTTAATCGATAAAAATTACTCCCAGAACTGTCACTAAAGTCGTCTTTTTTCTTTGTTTCAGGGATACATGAACACTGTTTTTTTCTGTTGGCTGGATAATAGTCGAGTGCCCATCGTCCGCCACTTTGGAAATAAACCGTAGTGTGCGCAAGTGGTCGATAGTGTGAGTGTGAAATAGAAAAATGCTTTAAAAAGTGTCTGATGTGATTTAAGTGCGCCATTATACTCGGTGTCTAATTTAAAAAATAAAAATCTGTGATTAAATTCGAAACGTACTAGCATGAGTTCGTATTTCGCCAACTACATGCCGGACATGAGAAATGGTGGCGTCGTTTCAGCTGAACATCAGCAACATCATTACGGAGCGGCTGTGCAAGTGCCGCAGGGCGGTGGAGCAGTCCAAACTGATCCAAGTGCGTGCGCCAACGACCCTTCTGTGGTTGGTTTGCGGCAAGGCATACCTCCTCACCATTATGGCGGGCCTCCGGCTGCCGGACAACCTCCTCAGGGCATGCCATACCCTAGGTTTCCTCCCTACGATCGTATGGATATTCGGAATCCCGCATATTACAACCAACAGCAGATGGACGGGACGCAAGGGTACCGACCCGATAGTCCCAACGCCATGCACATGGGGACGGCAGCTCCAAACGGTCACCAAACACCAGTGGTGTATGCAAGTTGTAAATTGCAAGCGGCAGCGGTGACCCAAAATGGGGTCTTAGGCCCCAACGGCAGTCCGCCCTTAGATACATCCCAGAATCTCACTAATCACCATATGGGGCATCATATGCAGGAACAGCATCCGCAACACCATCAGGCCCATCACCAACAGCCGCATATGATGTATGGCGCGCAACAAAATCCGAATATGCACCAACAAGCGCCTCATCCGCAACCTACTTTGCAACAGCAGCAACAGGGGCAACAGCCCCAGAATAACACGGCTTCTGCGTTGCCCAGTCCGCTTTACCCCTGGATGAGGAGCCAATTTGGTAAGTAAAAAAAATGGATTTTTTATGACAGTGATCGCACGTTTATAAGTTACTATCTTTCATTTATTTTCGAAATGTTTGATCACCTTATCCCACCTCTTTCTCCGGCGAAGAATAGAATTGCGTTTTATTGTTAGTCCGCAAGCCGTGACGAACCTGATTTCAGGTGGCCCGCATATCAGTTAAACTTGACGTTTCGTTGACCGAAATTTATGGACTTCTTTGAAACCGGCGACGTAATTTTGCATAACTTAAGAACATCTCAATTTTCTTGGTAGGGTGCACCGACAAGATCACCCGCTGTCAGTTTAGTGGAATTTCTCGAAAATTAATGGCGTAACATTTGTCTGCCGCTAAACCAAAACTACTCGAAATACTTTTCATCTGCTTATGGATTAATTTTATATTTATTTTGATTTGATTAATGCGACTCTAAGGCAGATATTTATTAGGTCAGTACGGGACACGTAAAGGCTAACATTGTCAGGTGGATAGCGTGCTGATTAATAAAAACTTAGGTAGAAGACAAGGATGAAAAAAATTCCTAGTACGCAGTTGGTGGTTTATAACCATAACCGTTGTGTACTTTGGGTTCTATTTCACCTACACTACCTAATTTTATTACTTTTGGCATAATACGAAAGTTACACAAGCTTTGCGCTTAGTATTTCGCAGATCTTGTGCTCCGCATCTCGGTCACCCTGCCTGGTTTTCTTCAAAAGTGAGGTTAACTTTTGTTCCTGCGGTGTGATTAAATTATGGCTGATTAGTGAGGAGGTAATTTCATGTATCTAGGAGTCTCTACACTTTTTTTTCGATTTGCTAATAGTTATTCTTCTATTCTTCTAACGAAACAGCTCCATTATTATAATTACAATGTGTAGTTATACTCCAAATGCTATTGTGTCACCATGTTCATGCCCAGAATCAGTTGAATATCAGTCGTTGCAACAATAATGCAGTAAGTGTAACTGAAATAATTTCATTTACACCCTGTAAGTGTCAATATGCTTATTACTATATATAATACAACTCCTTGAGCAACTTGATTTTTAAAATTCATTTTTCACATCCCACCGAATAAAATATATATTCTTATTATTATTAGTATTTGATATTTGAGTTATGCTATGTTTCTTATCAAGTAACTAGATATTGTTCATCTTCCTTCTAATTTCGCATGCCTTTTAATGTGAAATCTAAGAGTATTTGTTTTCATTTATAATTCTTTCCTTCTAATTCGTTATTACAGTGGTTTTTTCAATTCAAACGTTAAAGTTGTGTCGTTTTTACTTAAAAGGATTAGAGAAAAATAATCTCATTTAGTTGAAAAATCATACCCCATACTCGGACGAATGGTAGCTAAAGGTGTTCTTATTTAATATTTTTAAATTTAAAATAATCAAGTTATCGCAAATTAGTTTTTTTCAATTTTCGAAGAGCAATATCTTATTGTAATTTTTAAGTATGTAATATAAAGAACCAATTGTCACTAGCTTAGCTATGAACATTTTGCAAACTATACAAGAATACCCATACGTTTTAAGTATGTATCTAGAATTTAACAATAATAGGCTAAGGTGCGCTGTCCGGAATTCCACCGAATTGTTTGCGTTCTATATCTTTCGGCAGCTGAAGATTTTAAAAATATCTATATATTTATATATATATATATATATATATATATATATATATATATATATATATATATATATATATATATATATATATATATATATATATATATATATATATATATATATATATATATATATATATATATATATATTGCATATGTACCGTGCGTTCAATTTATCTTGATAACATTTTAATTGGCTGTAACTTTTTTCTTTTCAGAGATACCAAGTTAAACAAAAAAACAAAATGTAGGGTTAGTAGCCAAGTTTTTTCCTATCATCCTATCAATTTTCTGAAATATAAGCCTAACTCATATTTTTTTTTAAATGGAACACCCTGTTTATTTTATATGTGTTTAATAGAATATCTTATTCCGATTACAATGATGTAACACATTTTATATTTTAGTCCACTTGTTTTTGACAAATTGGCAAAAATAGGAAATTTTTATATAATTTCAAGTCATTATTGTTGAAATGATTTTTCCCGAATTTAGCATTCGTGAAAGGAGTGATATGCTTGAAGTATACTTACTGAATAATCAAAGTGAAACCGCAGTTCTCAGAGCACCGTGCTCCTTAAAACAGATATTTCCAAGGCTTTCAAAGAAATTTGCATAAAACGGTAACGTATTAATTGATAAGAGGTATGCCGAAAATAAGGTAAACATAGTAGGATTCTCTGAAGCACATCTAGTTTCCTCTACTACTAGAGTATTTGAAGAGACAGGTATTTCTCGGAGATTAATCCACTCAGTTTTGAAAGAACATGCATTTAAGTTTCGCAAAACTCAAAAACTAATTGCAGAACAATGTCGAAGTAGGATGCAGTTTTGCTTAGTTTTGGATTTTTGAAATATACATACAAATACACGAAATAAAAACCCAGGCGTACCAATCAATTGATGTATGGTGTGGTGTCATAGATGGGCATATTCTGGGTCCGATATTTATAGATCAAAAGTGGAGACCATTTGCAACTCTTAGGGCACCAAATAAACAATATATAGAAGATTTACCCCCAAATATATCAGCGCTGATTATATGGCAGCAAGACGGTGCCCCTCCTCCCAATGTTGTGCAAGTTAAAAATTTTCTTAATATCCCAGGGGAACTATGGATTGGCCAGCCAACAGCCCCGACTTAACTTTAATGGATTTTTTTCTTTTGGGGACACATGAAAAATCACGTGCACAGAACTACTTGTAATAATCTCTTGGAATTTCGGCAAAGAATTTCAGAGGCAATCAATCAGTTAAGAGGCAATCCGAAATGCAAGACATCATACATGTAGAGTGTATGAGAAATGTGTTCAGGAAAAGGGTGGTCACATGTATTTAGAATAGTAAACGAATTTTTTACTTTAGTGTGTCTTGTCATTTTTATTATTTTTGTTCTACTTTAATTTGTAAATAATTATTGTTGTTGCAGTCAGTCACGGCACTCTTTGAAATTGAATAAAAAATTACTATTTTTGCTGATTTGTCAAAAACGAGTGGACTAAAATATAAAGTGTGTAATCGAAATAAGATATTCTGTGTTCCATTAAAAAATATATGATGTAGGCTTGTATGACAGAACATTGATAGTGTTTTGTTTAAAAAAAAACTACTAACCCTACATTTTGTTTTTTTGTTTACTTTGATATACATTGTCCCATTCAAGATGCTTAACAAAGCAGTATGTTGGTTGTTTCTTGAGCCATTTTCTTCATTTTACTAAATGTGGTGTTATCTCAATAAAAGTATGGAATTCCGTTTAAAATAATCAACTTATCGTTTTATATTAAATTCTGGAACCACAATCTTTGCTTGTAACATTTGATTATGTAAAATGGAGAACGAATGGTCTATAGTTCCAACCATTTCTGCACATTCATATTTTGACAAAATATACCAGACCACGCCACTTCTTTTTGAAAAGAGTCTATTGCTTTCGTAAGCGACTTTTTTCATTTTAGATGCGAAAGTGCTTGATTGATTACCGGATATTTTGATTAGGATAAAAGAACGGAACTTAAATGCCTTGTTTTTCATCCTAAATAGAACGCTCTGGGTCAATATGAAGTCATAATCTTCCCCAACCTGTCTTCTATGGATTGCACCATCGCTGCATAAATATTACTTTATTATTAGTTATTACTGAATAAAATTTTGTGCCATAGTCTGCGCGACTATGACCCCAATTGATCTAATTTTATTTTTTTAAAGAAATAATTCAATACAAATTCCCAGACATGCAAGGTTTACGGGCTCTAATTACCCAATACATTGCATTCATAGCCCAATCATTCCATTAACATTTTCACTAACAATATTATAATACATTTTTTCGCGATAGTAATTGTATAACACAAATTGCGTATCGTTTACGCTACGCAAATTTATTAATTGTCGAAAACGAATAGCACATCCACCCGTGTTTTTACATAATTACCGCCAAGCCTAACCAAACATTAAAACCGCAAATTGCCACCGTTCAATTGATACTCTTCCCTATCACGTGTTTCGACGTGAATGGCAAATCTTCAATTTACAAGATTTATAGTTTTTATTCCGAATGGCAATTTGCAGCCGTATAAATGCATCCTTAAACATTCAATCGAAATGAATATTTTGATTCGGATCATTGATCGCGCAATTCATAAGAATTATGTACACCGTTACGCGCTTATTTTCCAATCATTTGCGTTTTCCGTTTTGATTTATTTATTTTTGCTTTCTCATGTGAAATGCGACCGATACGTGTGATTGTTGACGTCTCTGTCATTACGGTATTAAATTAGTTCAAGTGGGATGGACGGAATTTCTTTACAAATTCTTCTATTTTTATTAATCACTAATTTGTTAATAATGTCATTAATTTATTTATTAATTTTGATGTACATATGATTTAATAGATTTCTACCAGCAACTACGTAAATTTTATAATCTATGATTTCAATTAAAATACAATGTTAACACGTTATTTTATTTTCTTGTCTGACTAAGAAAAAATGATATTATAAGTATTTTGTCAAAATTCAATCTTAGTATTCATTATCGAGGAACTGTGCTTTCCTCGATTTATTGTTTTAAATCTGTAGAATAACTAGTTCCGTTACCATTTTCATTGTATTTTATACTCAAATTTCAAATCAATATATAAATTGTATATAATTAATATATAAACTCTTTCTTTTTTATTTGCAAGTAATCTATCATAAAGGAGCTGTGGAAAAACGTTTAGAAAATTATAAGAAAAAAATGTATCATTTAAGAATATTAATAAAAAGGGCAGCAACAGTAAAGGACTATGTAGTACTGACTACAAAAAATGGAGTTGCACAATGACAATGAGAAAATAAACTAACAAATACAAATT